ACCCGCCTGCTTGTTGTAAAAGGCGACTAAATGGGGCGGTCCTTGGGATGAGACCGTATAAACCGAGGCCCCGTGTCACAGCTGGTGTGGCACGATAAAGATTCCTCGATCCTGCTCAAAGGCCGTAGGTGCCGAGCATAGGCCTGAATTAGCAGCCCTTCACCGGCAATGGTGACGTCTCCATATCAGTGAAATATTCTGGAGAGGGACGTTAAACAGTATACAATTCAATCAATAAATCTCCATAATCTTATCTGTTTTGCAGCACTACTTGACTTATTTACTTCCAAAAAACGATCGTTTTTTCCTAATCCGAATTTCCTCTAATCTTTCATTTATGGTAAATACATGCAGATATCTCATTAAATTATTTACGATCACTCAAATAACTGAAAGATAAGTGTTTTATGACTCACATAAAATATATTTATAGTGTATTCTATTCAATGATTTAAGATGAAAACAAAATGAATTAAATTTCATTCTAAATGAGCTAGTGCAATGTTCAGAAAAAAAGAGAAGATAATTTATTTAGATTCATTTTAATCTTCTTTCATTATAATTTATACATGATTTAATTTCATAGTGAGAATTAAACTTTTAATTTTAGAAAGAATGACTTCAGTACCCTGACTTTTTCAAATATTAATTTCTTTTCAACATAATAGTTTTTTTATTTCAATTTTTGCCCCTATATTTGGGCTTGCAACTTTTCACTTGGGGCTAGTAACTTTATAGCTGCCACTAGCCCGTGGGCTAGTAATTGATTTTTCTAATTGCACACCCCTGACTCATAGCCAAGAATAAATTTCCACAAATGTATATATAGATAAAATTTCAACTTATCGGTTGAGATGGAAATTCTTTTGCTACATCCCAAAGAAAGATCTTGTCACATTTTTAGGAACACAAAAACCCTTGCACAAACCATACAGTAGAAATGGCCAAGGGTTAAAAGTTTTTTTTTCCAAAAGAATTAAGGTTTTATTCAAACTAAGGTTAAGATCACAAGGTCAAAAATTTTAATACCCAAGAAAAGGTCTTGTCACGAGGAATAAATATTAAGTGAAATATCAAACCCCTTCCACGGTTCCACCATCTGTTCAAAATTCACGGGTGGGGATAACATTTCCATTTGACAGGGGTGGTCCTGGATGAGCATGATTGGAAGATCAAATGGATTTTAAATGCTTTGATACATCATACAGTAGGGTTCATTTAACAGAGGGTATTCCCAGCAAGACACCCATCAAAGTAGAAGAAAATACATATCTGTGAACAATTATTTCTTCAATTTAAACCAACTGAACTATTTGGGGGAGGGGGGGGGGTTAAAAAACTTACATTGCTAAAAGAGTACCCATCTTTTTAAGTTGAACTCCATTGTAATTATTTCTTATATTTCAACCAACTGAACTATTGGGGGAGGGGGGGGGGTAAATAATTACATTGCTAAAAAGAGTACATTCAAGTTGAACTCCCTAATTATTATTTGTTCAATTTCAATAATAATTACATTGCTAAAAGAGTAGCTACCTTTTCAAGTTGAACTCCCTCGTAACTGTTAGGTCTGGCTCTCCGATGATTCTGGTTATCGATTTCTAAATTAATATTATTCAAGTCGTCCAAAGGAGTGACCGTGTCCCCTGGTTGGTCTGAAAAGTTTGTATTAAAGAATATATCATGTCATTTTAACTTGTCTGGCTTCCACAATGCAGTACAGAAATACATGTAATTGCATGCAAAATGACGAAACATTCTTGACATTTCATTATTTTGCTTTCAACAGTGGTTCACAAGACATAAGTATAATATATACAATGTACCCAAGTATAATCTGACAATATTAACAAGGATTAACACTTGTTCGGTACCAGTGAAAAAAAATTACGGACAAGTGAATATTGCTTAAAGTATTCTCAGTCTATATAAGAAAAAAGAACGGCTGTTGAAAGGTAATCAGTAATTTCAACTTTCAAGACTCATTGAAATACCCCCCGCTCAAAATATTTTATTGGCAAAATATTGGAAATAATTTTTTTACCTTTTTATCGTCCGACATCGTTTATTACAAGTTTGTTCGTTCGTCAAAATAGCTTTTTAGGGTTTGAGCTTGCATAAGTCTAACAACACCGGTCAATAAAATGCTTTCTTCTTAGTATTTGTGATATAGTGATTATAAGTGGCAATTTGACAAAATCATGAAAATGAAAGCCGCCAAAATGTCAGACCAGGATGGGTCGATCAGTGGATGTGAAAACATTCAAGCATTAAAGAGAAGTACTTTTATCATCTTTATAAAAATAAAAGTTGAATAAAAAATTAAATGGAATGATACACCTGGAAAGAGCTATAGTAATAAATCAGACAAAAATAATATTAAACAAATAAAAGAAAGGGAAAGTATCAAAAATCACCACTGTTCATTGCGAATTTTATTTTTTATCATTAAGCTTCAATTTGTAAAAAAAAAAAAAATCCCTCCCTCTGTGGCAACGCACTTTGAAAAAATTACGCACTTTGAAAAAATTTTTCAAAGTGCGTTAAGATTCTACATCAATATATTTTACCATGGAGACACTTAACGCACTTTGAAAAAAACATCATATTTTAGTCATGGAAAGATTTTATTTGTTATTTTACTTATTTATCTTCCAAAAAACTAAGCCTAACCCTAACCTCAAAAATGAATTGATTTACTCCTGTCAAAAAGAGGAGAAGACGGGTATAAGATCCCTCAGTCCAAATCTTTATCTTTCCAATACATAGGTGTCGGTAACAAACGGGGGAGGGGAGCAATAAACCTAAAAAGGGTACGCTGCATTTTCAATGCTTATAAGATGTATATATCTTTCCAAAATAAGTGGGGGGCTTAGCCCCCCCCATCCCCTCCCCTGGCCCTTCGCCCAGTCTTGATGTCTATGCTATACTCAAAGCATTCATATAATTACCGTATTTGGCCGAGAATAATATGCATTGATGTAAAATACGCACCCCCCTTTTTGTGTCTGGAACTGGGGAAAAAAACGCAGTTCGGATGTATTGTACGCAACTGAAAATTTTACCAAACGATGTTCAGAACTTTGAAAATCGCGGTAATTTGTAACGAAAATTGGCGCGAAGATTAAGTGTCAAAAATTTACAGAACACACATTTTTTTCAAATACATTTATATTTTTTTCTTAATCTGCAATTTCCATATCGCGGCAATCTGGAGAAATTTATTTATTCATGAATTTCAACAAAGCACAAGATAATGTTGTGTAAAGGTGTTAACAGAATTTATTTTTTAAGCATACGGTGATATTGAAATAATAAGTGGCCATATAATTCTTTGGTGAAATAATTTTATATCAACAAAGCATGAGATATTGTTGCAAGTTTAAACAGTTGTCATATTTAATTTTGGTTCGAGGTAATCATGCTGAAAAAAAGAAATTGATACATCAAAATATTTTAAAAATTAAGTAGACTACGATGATAGACTAAAATGATAACACTTAAGTTTTAGCTCACTTCATATAATCTCAATTATTTAAACAAGGGTTCGAGAAGTATAAGATCAGGTAAAATTACATTTAACAAGTGTTTAATTGTTTAATGTGTCGTAATCAACACACGCTCACACATACGAAAGGTTACAAACCGACCCCCGCTTTTTAACAAAGAAAATAACCAAAGCAATTAAAAGGACAGTGAAAATAATCATCGCTATAACTGTAGAAACATTGCTTTGGAGTCGGTAGACAATTAATTGCCTGGAGGGGTGTAACAGGTGCTGAGAGGTAATTATCAAGTGACCAGCTCACGTGTGTCACGACATTGGCTTCCTTTCATTGGGACGTATAGAGGGGTGTTTGTGTTGCAGTGAATTTTCACTGAGTTATTTAAAAACTAAAATAAAATTTTTATTTTATTGTATTTCATTAAAAAATGACTTATTGCTTTGTCAGGCAGATAAGGTGCATATGTACTATGATTACGGTAGCACGTGACAAAGGAATGTGTTAACGTCTTAAAATAGCATTGGTAATGGCGGCCTACACGGAGACGATAAACATGGAGCTCAAATTATTTTAACCTGCTTTTTCATGTCATTTTAGTACCAAAATATTATGAAAGTGTTATTTTTAACAAGCATACATTCCAACAATAACTTTCCAAAGTTTAAAAATGACAATAAACAAAAGAAGTTGTATATGTCTCTTGGTAAAACTACGGTATGTACGTATGATAGCCATGTTTCACCTGAAAGAAAAACTTATCAAAGTCCCATTGTGATGTAAAATACGCATCCCTTTCTCAGAGAAATTTCTTTTAGGGAAAAAGTGCGTATTGTATTCCCCCAAATACGGTATGTATTTACCTAACTGGTATGACGTTGAAAAATTTTTAAGTACAGTAAAACGTATGAGAGAGAAAGAATTTTCATAGTTTTGAACAATCAAATTGGCCCCTTTTTATTATGAAAAATGCTAAGTTGCTTGAAGCTGTCCTCTGTTAGTGCCCCCTATACACCTTTACATCTACTTATCAAAGACTAGAATTTAAAAAAAAGAAGAAACGAATTAATGAATTTAAACAATCGTCACTCTTTTTTTCAAGACCCTTTAATTTTCCCTTTTATTTTTAATTATCAAAACCTTAAATATTTAAAACGTCAATATCTCAGGTCCTTCTGTGAACTTCTTCATTAAAAAATTATCAAACCAGAATCTGTTTTTTATCATACCGATTATTTGAAGGAATATTGATCAATCTTTACATTTTTTTTCAAAGTGCGTTAATATGGTCGATATTAACGCACTTTGAAAAAAAAAAATTTTTTTCAAAGTGCGTTAGCTTGGTCCTAAATTTTAACGCACTTTGAAAAACTTTTTCAAAGTGCGTAATTTTTCAAACTGCGTTGTAACATCCCTCCCTCCTGGGTCTGAAAACCCCCAGGCGGCAATTCCAAACAAACTTTTTTTTAAGGATGGCCTTATTATCCTTGCACCGTAAGGCTATACCATACATAACAGAAAATCTTATAATTTGTTTATTTATAAGGAAAATATATCTATTTGAAATTTGTTATGTATATTCATAATACATGCACTAAAGAGTACCGTATATACTTGCCTATAAGTCGGTTTTTTGGGAGTTAAATTTTAGCCAAAAAGTCTATGTCCGACTTATAGGCGAGCCATAAAAGGATTGGTATTTTTCTGGTCGGCGAAATGTAGTATTCTATAAACATGGTTATCGTTGTATAAAGTCTGGATATATCATATCATTATGATTTATGTATTCTAAGATTAAACGTAAAGTACAAGTATTTGTATACATATAAATTATCTGTCATCTAATTTTTTTATCTTAAGAATGCATTATTTATTTTTTTTTTATAATTTAAAGTAAAATATCGACTTAATTTCTAAAAATATTAATTGAAATCAGGTTAAAACATCAGAACATTTATTAGAAATTGCCACCTTATTCTGACAAAAAGTTGTACCGACTTATAGGCGGGTCAATGGCAAATCACCGCAAAATAACCGAAAAAAATACAACCGACTTATAGGCGGACCGACTTATAGGCGAGTATATACGGTAGTTAAAATTTCAGAATGCAGTGATGATTATTTTTCACACTAGACAACTTGTCCATGATTTTACCGGACAACCCTCGTAAATAGGGAAAAAAGTTAATGTCGAGCCCTGACTAAATTAGTTAAGCATATGAAGGCTTACTAATGTTTTCTGCATAGAACTCACCTCTTATCAAAAGACCGTTTTCATTGGATATTGTCTCCACCTTCTTGTTGCGACACAGGCAGCAAAGGATGATGGGAAGAAGAATCACAAGGAGTAAAAATATGGATCCACCCACAGCAATTAGTATAAACTGCCAGGTGCTCCAAAACTGGTATAACGTGACTCTCTGTATGTTGAACTCATGTCCTCCTATGTATAACTAGAATATAAACAAAACGTAACAAGGACTCTGTATAATTCCGAATAATGTTGTAGTGGTTTTCTTTCATGACAATTCTATTGGTGCAGAATACTGTAAATTAGGGAATAACTATCTTCTAATTTAATTGGTATTTGCAACTGTTAATGCTGATTTAACAGTCGCAAACTGAGTTTTACCGGCCACACGTAAACGGAGCCGGTAAAACGGATGTTTGCGACCATTAAATCAGCATTAACGGTCGCAAATACCAAATGAGAAGATCAGTTATTCCCATTCTAATGCAATCCATGCATTTTGTTTGTTGTTTACGTCTTATTTTGTCGAGTTTAGTGATATAAATGTGTTTTTGCGTCACTCTATTATGAAGTCACAATGAAAAGCTTTATGCCTCTTTAATGCTCGTTTTACTGCTTCAAACATGAGTGCTTTAGCCAATCAAAATGTATTTTACAAAACAATTGCATTAGAATTATTTGCGAGAACTTTATTTTCGCGTAATTACACGAGGCGGTATGCTCGCGAAAATATAATTCTCGCGTATTATAGAATTTCTTAAGATTATATAGAGCAATGACCACAATTCGTGAAAATTTTGTCTCGCTAATAAAGAGTCAATGACTATCTCACGAAAATAAGGTGTCGCAAAAATTAACCGACAGTACAGAGAAATCTGGCTGGATTTGGCAACATTCCAGATACAACATTGTACACAATTGAATTTTACTGTAGTAAATGGGACGTAATCTACACTGTTTTAGACAAGATTACACACACCTGATTAAACAAAATTCCACTCTACTTGGTTCTCTAGGCGGACAATATTGATTTCAGGTGCATTGTATATTAAAGTTCAGGCTTTTTGACATATAAAATTTTTAAAAAGAAGCGAATTTAGTTTCATCTGTTGATTTCATCTCAATCAAGCCTACAGTACAGGTACCAATAGGAAACCCACAATTAATTTATCTTGGCCTTACCATCATATCCACTTCCTCATCTACGCCAGGAAATCCAATATCCGGCTCGCATTTAATCAAGTTTCTCCCTCGGCTAGTTATCACACATGGATAACTACTGGAGCCCCCCCTCAACTCCACTCTGAAGTCAGAATCTGCACATCCAGAGGTGAACTCCTGGCCCTGCAATCACAAAGAAATTCTATTAGCCACTACACCTCTAATTAAGCTCAGAGGGATTCATCAAGACTAAAAATTTTGTTCCGACATCAGTACAAAATTTTTTTTCTGGTAAGAATACACAGGCAACTTCACCAAATGATCCACACATGATCTGGCTCATATGATACTTATACGATTGTATATACATATGATCCTCATATGAAAGGCAATGCATAATTATGTGGATCATATGTGGCAAAATTGCCTATGTACCTATGCATTATCAACAACTTGAAATAATTTCAAACAACCGATTGTAAAAATTAAATAAAAATACCGGTAAATTCAAAAAAATTAAATATGATAAATTTAAAATTAAAAAACTTTTAAAAATTGCTAAATTTGAATATATACCATTCACAATTTTCATCATACTTGAGATTTTCATGATGAACATGATCAAAGGCTAATGAAATAATTTAAAAATCACATTTAACCAAAAATAAAATTCTCTCATAAAATATTTAAAGCATGTTTCACTGTACCTCAATTTGCAGCTCAACTTGAAAGACTGGCCTGTACTCCTGTTTTTCATCAACCTCTCGTGTTGGTACAGGATCGTTAACAATATTAATCATCGCATTTGGGAATGTACTGTGAGCTTCGTACATGGTTGTGCCATCTAATCCTACACCAAATCTCAAAACAGAGCCTGTTTCGAATCCACTTGGAGAGTTACAAAGGATTTCTGTGCTGCTCGAAACAGAACATTGCTGAAAGAGGGTTTAAAAAGTTTACTTTGCCATTAATTGATTACATTAATTTATATGAAATATCTATCCATTGATTTATATTTTTAGAACTTAAACTAAACAGGAGGCCCATGGGCCACAATGCCCTCCTGAGTAACTTATCTTCACCAGTTTTCCCATTTGTTATACTTATTGTGGCCTCACCCTACCCCTTTGGTTCATGGTTTAATTTTAAATCTAATTACTGTAGATCACTAAATTTTCGCGACACCTTATTTTCGCGAGATAGTCATTGACTCTTGATTAGCGAGAAGATTTTTTCGCGAATTGTGGTTATTGCTCTATATCATCTTAAAGGTCAAATATAATATTTATGTGAAAATTCATAATTATTCATTATTATCAGCCTCTGGAATAATATGAATAATATTCTGAGGTCTGTTTAATTTTTTAACACCAATTTCCATCACTAAATGTCGTTTAAACTTACCTGAGTGACAAGTGGATCATTTATTGTAAATCGCTTATCTCCCTTGTTGCATGACGTCATTAGAGACAATGTGAAATAGGAAGTGCATACTATATTGACGGGTTTGGAAAATTATTGTTCTCTAGATGCTGTCATGTGCGCTTTTAACTTTGATAATAATTCGGGACAAGATATGAGTGTATTTATTTATTGTTTACGAACCTGAAATTGAGGATAATACCAGTATTCATATTAAATTGAGAGTCTAAGAGAAATGGTTTTGAACCCAATAAACATGCAAAGCTATAAATATGACCAATATTTTTACATAGATCAGTTTACAGGCACGTAGCCACAGGGGAGGGGGTGCAGAGGGGGCCTCCCCATTTTTTCACAAACATTACGCTTACTAGGGTTTCGAGTTTTGGCAATTCCCCCCCCCCCCCCCCCCCTTTTTTTTTGTTGCTTGTCAACTTTTAAAACTTTTCTCTGGCTGTCCCCCTTTCAAAAACGATGCTACGTGGCTGGTTTAGCCTACAGTTTAATTAAATATAAAATGTCTGACGGATTTCTTGGGTTTATTTCAAAATTTAAGTCGTATTTCAGTTTCTCAGTTTAGGTTTTAAAGCCCCAATACTGTTTGAAGGGAAAGGTTTTAAAATTTTTATTTGAAATATTTTAGTTACAGTACTGTACTAGCCAAAATGACAGGCACCTGAGATTTTGCCCTCTCTCTCCTATTGAAAATTTAACTAAGACAATATACATGAATTCCTCGTCGACATACCAATACCATGAATACTTTGATATTTTCCATTTTTGTCAAGTTACAGAGATTGTCCCTTTACAGTATGTGCTCGGTATATTTATATACATGTATTACGCGGCGCCAAGTCAAAAGAACATGTATCTTGCCGTAAACTACCTCTAGCATGCTGTCAAAGCCATAAAAAGTACTTGTAGTTTTCATAAACCGTAAAAGAACAATTTCTAAAACTTGACAGAAAACGGAAGATGATAATCAAATATCGATTTATTGAATATATTTATTTATTTATTTATTTTTCACTCATATGAAGACGCCATCATTTGCCGGCGGAAAGCTGAAAATTTTGTCCTATGCTCGGCACTTAGGGCCATTGAGCAAGGAGGGATCTTTTTCGTGCCAGCACCTACAGCGACACGGGACCTCGGTTTATACGGTCTCATCCGAAGGACCGTATCAAATAGACTTATCAAAGTATTGGTATGATAGACAAGGAAATTATTATTTGAAATGATAGACACGGAAATGATTATCGTGTCCAAAAATATCTCGGTGGGGGTGGTGGATGTACATCAACCATTTTTCAGGTGCCTGCGCACAAGACGGAAGGTTACCGAGGCGGTGATATACCCACCCGAGAAATCTGCGATAAGAGAGATGTACAATGAATGTACATAGAGTAGAAAATGATAAAGAAAAAAAACTATCTTTATGTTTTTATCGTGTACATAAATGTTATATTATTTTAAACAAACTAAATAAATGTTAAGCATATGGTGAGCAAGGGAAGCAGACTGACTATGAAAAGGGGGGGGGGGGTAATAGACAAGCCAAAAAGATTCTTGATTAAAAATGTGACCCCCCCAAAAAAAAATGGAAGGGGGTAGTCTTTTTCTTTTATATAAGAAATACTAGTATAATGAGATGCAGGAAAATGACCTTACTGTGACAAAACGGGAAAGGGGTCGTTACTAACCTTTCATGAAAATTTCCTTTTTAAATTAAAATTTAAAAAATATTTATATGAAAAAGTCAGGGAGCACCCCCCTCACCTATAGTTCGTGCCTGTAAGGCAATTTTCCTCGGATAATATTCTTGTACAGAGTTGGTGATTTCATTTCTTGTCAGGATATATAAATGTTAAGTATAATGTCCGTCTCAGATAATATTTTCTCAAGAATGTGTTTATTTACTTCCATGCAGTTGCACTTTTTTCTATTATAATATTATCAAAAAATAAAACTTCAGTGTTCATGCACACAAGTGATTGTTCCTCCATATTTTACTGTCCACTTCATTTGTTTTTCTGCGATGATACTTGGTCAGAACTTTGATTTTCATTTCCAATTTCACCCTTACGGCTTTTCCTTGATTGGCTCAAACATACAAAGCCTAGCTATTCTTAATTGAAAGATCTACACGTAATCCTGGTATATCAACATTTTTGTTCCCTAAAATTTACCATTCTTTTAGATAATCAAGAGTAGTTATATACTATACTTATATAACTAGATTCCGTCGAGTGTCTCGAATGACGTCACAAAAACGGGAAGCAACTCTATTAATGAACGTTATTTTTAGCGATATTTAAACAGGTAAATACAGAAAACAACGAGGTTTAAAATTAAACGAATATTGTAATTCCCTCTTTTTAACTTTTATTTACAACATAAATCAGTTACAAGCGTATCTATTTCCTTTGAATTTGACCTTTAAGGAATACTATTATACACGAGAATTAAATTTTCGCAAGCACTCTGTCTTGCGTAATACAATGAAAATAAAGTTCTCGCGAATAAAAAGTGATTTACAGTAAATTACCTATGGAAGCTTCCACCAATATTTAAATTTTCTGGCCAAATGGTTTTTGAGATGATTTTAAAAGATTTCACTAATAAACATCAATGTAAAACTTTGATTCCTTATTGTGGCCCCTCCCTTCCCTCTAGTGCCATTGTTTGAATAATTTTAAATCCTCTTTTCCTACATGTATGCAAGGATGTTGCTCCCATAAAGTTTCAGTTTTTCTGGCCCAGTGTTCTTGAGAAGATATTTCTTAATTATTGGATAGAGGGAAATTTTTGCCCCCTTTTTATTTTTGCCCTCTTCGCCTTACCCTCATTTGAGCGAGTATAAAACAGGGTGAATTCAAAGAATACAGTATAAACTCTTAAACAAAACCATGATTGGCCCAATTAAAATGGGGCAAAATTTTTTGAAAGTATGAAAGGGGCGAAAACAACCCTGTATACAGTACTTCAATGTAAAATTTTGATTCCCTTTCGTGGCCCCAACCTACCCCTAGGGGTATTCAGAATTCACACCACTTAAGGATGATTCTGTATAAATTTAAGGTTTTCTGACCCTGGCCAGTGATTCTTGAGAAGAAGATTTTTAAAGATTTTTCCTACTTTTTCAATGTAAAATTTTGATTCCCTATTGTGGCCCCATTTTTACCACAGGAACCTTGATATGAACAATTAAATAAAATCTTCACTACCCTACCATGCTTCCACATAGATTTAGTTGTGTAAATTGTAATCTTTACCAGGCTGAAGTTTTATCTGAGTCTTGATGGAAGAATTGTTATGAAACCCCCCTCCTCCTCCCCTTTTTTTGGAGTTTTCTTAATTATCTGCCCTTGTAAGGGGGTTGGTCCTTAAATTTAACAATTTAACACCCCCCCCCCCCCCTTCACCCAAGAATGTTTTGTACCAACTTTGGCAAGTTTTTGAAAAAAAGATGAAAAAGTGAAAAGTTTACAGACAGCTAAACAGACAGACAGACAGACAGCAGGTGATCAAAAAGTCCACATGAGCTTTCAGCTCAAGTGAGCTAACAAGAGGCCCATGGGCCACATCGCTCACCTGAGCAATGTGGCTAAGAAAAAGTAGAAGTTGGTTTATTATTAAAAAGATTAAATCCAAAAGTAGTCCCATGACCAACCATGGCTTTGCTATTCTTGAGAAGATGATTTTTAAAAGTTTTTCCTACATATATAATTCTATGTTAAATGTTGATCAGCCATTGTGGCCCCGCCCTACCCCCGGAGGTCATAATTTGAAGAAACTTGAATCTACACTACCTGAGGATGCTTCCATATAAATATGATCAATTATGGCTTTGCTATTCTTGAGAAGATTTTTAAAGAATTTTCCTATATATTTCTATGTAAAACTTTGGTCGGCCATTGTGACCCCGCCCTACCCCTGGGGGTCATGATTAGAACAAACTTGAATCTACACTACCCAAGGATGCAGGCGTGGCCCTTCATATGAACAAATTTGAATCCCCTTCACCCAAGGATGCTTAGAGGCAAGTTTGGCTGAAATTGGCCCAGCGGTTCTTGAGAAGAAGTCGAAAATGTGAAAAGTTTACAGCTAGACAGATGGACACCAGACAAAATGTAATCAGAAAAGCTCACTTGAGCCTTCGGCTCAGGTGAGCTTAAAAGCAATATCATTTACTTCGAATTCTCCTCCACTTATGAGTTTATGAAAATCTGCCAAATTATGACAAAATACTTCATGGGGTGGGGTGGGGATTATGAAAATATGAATTACCTCTGTTTTAAGTTTTCCTCCACTCTGATTATATACAATAAGAACTGGTTGACTGACGCTGTCTAAGTTTGTTCCCCTTATGGGGATTTTACATCCTCCACTGCAAATATATAAAGTAAATAAATTAAAAATACATAGGTAATCAAAGATTACGAAGTTCACCTCAACGAATGTTATCAGTATAAGTGATGCAAATCTCACATCATATTTTCTTAATAGTTAGTATTTATCCCGACAACAATATTCTTGCAAGTTCTGTTTAACCCCTTACAAAGCATATACACATTTCTACACTTCTAGCATGAAAAACATATAGTGTAAACAAATATTCATAACTTTGTTAATATTGCATATCTAGGATTAGGAAGCTCATTGGGATTGATCTGTTCCAAAAACTTTAACCTGGTCTCTTGTTTGGAAAATGTA